GTGATTGTGTGTGTGTTTGTTTGTCGCTGCTGTTCACCACGTGACTTTCTGGGTGTTTCTTTAGCTCTGTCACATGATCCTGACGTCAGTCTGTGCAGCGGCGTCAAAGTGTTACAGTCGAGAGCAACTTCACCTCCCGACTGACAATCACAGACAGAAACAAGTTGAACCCTATAACCAGAAAACATTAGAGGTCGTTGGCTGCCGAGGAACATCTCTTCATCGTCTCAAACAAATCAGAGTTGGAGTTTCCTCCTCTTCCTCCTCTTGCTGTCTGTTTGTGACGCTAACGTTAGCCTAGCTAGCTCAGTTAGCTCGCTGAGCTAGCGGCGCCCTGTCTGTTGTTGTGTTGCTGTGATTTCACTGACGAGCAAAACCCGCACAGAAACAAACATAAACATGTCTCAGATCGGTGGTGTTCAGTCATGGTGCCTCGGAGTGACGTTACAGCTGATGTTAGGTGAGTATTGATCACGGTTTGTGTAAGTTATCATTAAATCGATCACAGATTACCTGCGTGGTTAAACGTGTGTGTGTGTGTGTGTGTTCAATCAATACACCGACATGTAGGGTGTTGTGCACAGTGTGTGGATAAAGAGGCTGTTTTAACTCACAGATGCTGTGTGGAGAGTTGGACTGTAATACTGCTGAGTTCACGTCTGTGGCGCTACTTTGCGTCATTCTGAGTTCAGGCACAGAGGCTGAATCCTAAAGCCCTGTTCACTAGTTATTGTCCTTTGTCCTGCTGTCACACTACATGGGAGACCAGAAGTGGAGAAATGAGAGTGTAGGACATTCATGGTAATCTATAATCAAAATGGAGGTGTTTCTATTAATAGTGGTGGGAAGGAATAAATGCATCAAACTCAAGTTATATTCTTAAATACAGTCGAGTTGAGGCTGATGCTGATTTGAAGACGTATGAAATAGTCTGCTCCTAATAACAGTTTGTCTGATATGGGTTTTGTTCCTTTTCAAAATGGCTACACACAAGATGTCTCCTACTTCACTGTAAAGTCCGTTTCCAGTGTTCAGTGCACAGGAGGTTTCAGGTTTCCACATCACACTTGTGGTTGCATATTGGACTGCGATTGGCTTCCAGACTAGTTGCGATGTCACGAAACCATCTGATCTGAAACTGAGATTTAAGGTGAGCACAGAGGAACTTTCCCACTGCAGCTTATGTTAAACTCTGACATCCTCCTGCACAGGGAAGCTGTTCGGTCAAAGGTCTTGTTTGATCCCCCTAAATGTTAGTTAGTGTATGAAATCCACTTGACAGTTGATGGCGCACTAGAGCACCAGCATCTCAGACCAAAACAATGGGTCTTTGTTAGTCTTTCCAACAATCACCAAGGCTGGTTTGGTAGAAATAAACCCTTAATTCACCCAGTTAGATGTGGCTGTGCGAACAAATCAGAGAGAGGCTGCGACTGTTTGGCCACAATCATTTTATAATTCTGCAATACTGCAATTTCCCAGCTTGGGATCAATAAAGTATATCTATTTAGTCATAGTTACTGTTTTTAAATGAATCTACAGAAGGAGTCAAAAGATCAAACAAACTACTTCAATATTTACGAGCTATAGGAACGCCCTAATCCAGAGATCCGGAGAGAACGCCTGAGAGAGAGAGAGAGAGAGAGAGAGAGAGAGAGAGAGAGAGAGGTCAAACAAGTCCCACCTGTCGCACCCATTCACCGCCTGCAGCACAAGAGGAGAGGGAGAGGCCGCGCATACTACAGTTACTCTGAGCAGAGTGCTTGGGAATGAATTACAAAATGATGCATATGAATATATTTCTTCTTATCCCTGATGGTCTCAATAAGTCGCTAAATTTGCTGCTACTCACTTTTTAGAAATAAAGCCACTAAGTGTTTGGCAACGCTGACTCTCTAAGATTGATTTTGTGTGTCTATGGGCTCATGTAACGTCGTGTAGAGCTCCTGCAGCGTCACCTCACATTAGTTAGAGTTAAACACCTAACAATTAAAATGATATATAATCAATGAGTCTTAAATTTAATAAAGTTAAGTGTTGAATATTTTCTCATGCCTGCTGTAGACAGTTACTTATAAAATGTCATTGTATCTGATTGCAGGCTGTCAGGAGAGGTTCGACTCCTATAAACTAAAAGTTGGTTTGTGTGTGCAGGAGGCTGTTTTTGTCCTTTTCTTGTGCAGTCAGCACCGTCAGAGCTGCTGCTGTCTACAGTACTCATAATGGGAAAGTGTCGATTAAAGCAAGAACTTAAATAAATTCATCATTTTTCATTGGTTGGTTAATCCATCCATTTTCTGCCACTGATCTGGGTCCAGGTGGCTTTAATTGAATGAATTATATCATTAGGAGTTATTAGTTATTATTCTATATTGCTGTGAGGTACCGAAGCAGCTTCCTAAAAGGCCTACTGAAATGGCCCAATTGTCCCTCCTGGTTTTCCATCATACCTTCATACTTTGACCAGTATGGTATTGAATTGCATTCTATGTGGTTTTTAAATAGTCTTAAATTTAACTTTGTGAACCCTGCAGAAACCCTGTATTTATTTATTTATTCAGTATTGAACCCCTTGCATCTCTGTAACACTACCCTCCTAACTGAATACCCTCTTGCAGCTGCCGTCCTGCACCAGGGTTTTGCTACTGTTGCCCCGCCCACGACTGCCCAGACCACTGCTGCACCGCACAAGGAGCCCGGCAGACCCGAGAAAGGAATCTACCACGTCACCAGCAGCAATGGTACTACCTGTTTACTGGCATCCATGGGTCTCCAGCTCAACATCACCTTCAGCTCTGTCTCCCAGAATAAGGTGCCTGAACACAAAATCTCAACAGTCTGAACACTGTTGGAGTTAAAACTGCAGACACAGGGTTAACAGGTTTGAAATGCTGAATGCTCCACCATTGATTTGCAGACGGTGCAGGATGTCGTGAACCTTCAGCCCAATGTGACAGTAAGCTCTGGATCATGTGACTCAGAGAGCGCCTCCCTGCGGCTCACAACGGATGCAGAGAAGACCAACCTCACCTTCTTCTTCAGCCTGGTAAGACACTGTATCTGCCGTCATCACAACCCCGTTTATGAAACCCCCCCTGTGACATTTACCTTCTTGCTTTTTATTTTCACCCTGTTCTTCCTGAAACTGCCACTAGATGGCAGCTGGAGCTTGAGGTGAACTTGCTTTTCTTGTAGTTTCACTGACTTCTGGTGGTCTTGCTGTTTTTCTCCAGAATGCTACGTCCAATAAGTACCACCTGAGCGGGGTGTCTCTGTCAGCGCTCTGGCCAGACATGAAAGGTGAATGCACGTTATCTGCCAGGATCTATACGAGTATAATAAACACGTGTCCATCCTATCCTGTGATCCTCATCGGTTTATGAATGTAATCAGGGTTTTTGTTGGCTCAAAAAGAAGGAAAGGTTGACACAACAGCTGTAACTCACTCTAATAAAAGGAAAATAAATATAAACACACAGTTAGGAATCGCATATAGCTTGTATATGGATTCTAGGGCTTGGTTTGTATTATTTTATTGTGTAACTCAATCACTGACTTTGATTTGGTGTTAAAATATTTACTAAATATGACACAGGAAACAGTTTAGTTTACTTAACTCCTGTATATGTTACACCTAAGCAGATTATTTTTTACACTGCAGTGCTTAAAATCTACTCTGAAATACTAGAAAAACAAGAACATCCGTATGATATGTAATGTAATACAGCAGCCCTGCAATAAATCCCGCCAATTATGTTTGTGTTGAAACTGTGTCAGAGGGGTCGTGATCCAACGACATCATAGTGATAACCGTTTCTAACATTTTGACAGTCATCGACAAAATCGTGAACCTGATCGTCCCTCCATCGTTGTCTTTCTCCTGCAGCGGTCCTGTAATTCAGCCTGTAATTCAGTCTGTAATTCAGTCTGTAACAGCGTTTTGCTAGTAACATGAATTATGTTGTATTTTTAATAAGCCCACCCGTAATGATTCTGTTGTTTCTTATTTTAAAATGGGTGCAATTACTGTTGCGATCATCAGGTCTTGAACAAAACGTTTAAATTCTCTATGCAAAGAAAAAAAACTTAAATCAGACGTCATCCTTCTCTAAAGTTTATCTCCTTTGTTTTAAATCAGTTTTCACATTTCTCATTCTGTATCCTGTCTCTGTTCCTTTTGTTTAACCGTACCCCTCTTCCTCCCTGTAATCACTCCCCGTCCTGTCCTCTGCTTTAGGGCCCTTCTCGGCCCATAACCGCAGTCTGGACTACCTGCGGGGAACCCTGGGGTACTCATACATGTGCCGTAAGGAGCAGACTCTAAATGTGGCCCAGGATCTGTCCATCAACACCTTCCAAGTGCAGGTGCAGCCTTTCGGCCTCACTGGAGATAACTTTGGAGCAGGTAAAACTCTTCTGTCTGATAGAGCGTGATAAAATACATCTACTGCGTTCTCCCTCTAAATTCGCCCGTCTGGTGTGTTTTGTGTTTTTTCTCTCAGCTGAGGAATGCCAGTTGGACGAAGATGACATGTTGATCCCCATCATAGTTGGAGCCGCTTTAGCAGGTCTCGTCCTCATCGTGCTCTTAGCCTACCTCATTGGCAGGAAGAGGAGCCATGCTGGCTACCAGACCATCTGAGGTCACTTGTCACTCTCATGTTCCCGCGAGGCCCGAGTGCGCTATCCCACCCTTGAGATTAACCACTGTTTTATGAGACTTAACACCCCACCCAACTACCCCTGTCCGCCTCTGTCCCTCCATCCTACCATCTCCCTGCCTTTGTGTGTGCTGTTCTTTGCCCTCATCGGTAACACTAGTCATTATCACTTTGTGGAGGTTGATATGCTCTTTCTGAACTGACTGCTCATAGGAAAAAAAAAAAAAAGGGGGGACTTTTTGGAGATTGCAATGAAATGAGGAAAAATCTCTTTAATGGTACGATGTGAAGCAGGGGATGGGTGTTGATCAGAAGGTCCATGAGAGTTCTCAAGTTGTAGTTTACTATTTATAATTTCTGTGAAAGGAATTTTGAGGGATTCAAGGGAATTGCTGCTGTAGCTTTTCTTATTTATCTGCTTTTGGGTGGCCATTTTTAATGGCCTTGCCCTGAATGAGGTTTGTTATTGTAAAAGGGAATATTTCAGGCTGTTTAACTTAATCCACTTCAGACAATTTGGATCTGACGTTTTTTTATTGCAACTCTGCATTAAGCCCAAGTATGCAGATTTTAGGGAACAGACTAAAAACACAGTAACCCATTCATTAAGAGGATATGTGAGGGGTCCCGTAAGTAAACAAGACGGATGTAGGGATTTATTTAGTCCAATGGGATTGGTGATGATGGGTACTTCTCTCCCTCATTAAGGTTCTGAACACATTTAGTGTGGAGAGTACAGGTGCAGTTGTCAGCTTTGTAAGATAATTATGTTTGGGCAGTGTGGCCTTTTTCACTCCGTTTTTAAAGGAATAGTTCTCATTTTTGCGGAATACGAAGCTACAGTCAGCTAGTGGTTAGCGTACTTTAGCACAAAGAAAGTGTTGTCATTTTTTGTACGGATTAAACGAGATACCTCGTGTTTGTTTGTGAGCTTTAGAGATGTTGGTTGGCAGATTTTGGGGAGAGCTGGGCTTGGCTAATATCTCCATGCTGTAATTTCATATTTACCATACAGACATGAGTGGTATTGATGTTCTCCTCTGACTTTAGGCAAGAGCATGATTTTCCCAACTATTCTTTTTAAGTGAGAGTAGCCACTCTTTTGGATTCTGCTGTTACAATGTACACACACACGCACAGACAGGAGTTGCTTAAACAATCTTAAAAAAAAAACAAAAAAACAGTACTGTCTTAGGTGGACAATAAAGCTCAGGACATCACTGTCAGAACGTAATAATGTTGTTGTTGTAAGTGTTACAGTCCACCGGGTGGTTTCTGTTTGTTTTTCCTTCCCCCTGAATATGGGTCCACTTGGGATTTTGGTTGCTGAAGGGAAAGAAGTTGCACTAAAGTCTGGAGAAACAGCCCCATCTAATGATTAGTGGCCAAAAATGCTCTGGTCAGTGTTCATCAGTGCCTTCCCAGCTGTAACATAGATGGGATTAAAGTAAAGCCAATACCACAGACATACTCACTCACTCACTCACACTGTGTGCTGTCATGTCTGGGTCATTTTCTTTGTGTCTCACATGGCCTTCATGTACTGTTACTACCATAAATACGCATTGTTTGATGTAGTAGAAGAAAGTGGTTTTTTTTTTATGTCCCCCCCCCCTCCCTCATCTAAATATCCATGTAGGGATTTAATAAGGTTTTAATGGAATTGTTTGAACTGTTTTCTAAAGGAGAGGACAATAAAAGTGAATGAACAACTCTGTTTGACTTTTTGTTTTGCCTTTATACAATTCATCAGCAGTCAAACCTGTTCCTGGTTGTTCTTTGTTTGGACTCCTTAGAAGTGTAGATACAGTGTAGGTTACAATGTTATTCTGTAAACATTCTGAATAAAGATTCCCTTTTTTAAATAGTTAAACCTTTTCAGTTGTAGGTTTTATGTCCTCGAGCTATAAATCAGTCATTACTCAGATGCGAGAATAAAGGCCAGCAGGTCTCTGATCCACAATATTTTAATACTGTAAATGTGATCACTTCTGGGCTAAGAATCTACTCATTGCAGTTCATGGCTCGCTCCCCCCCCCCTTTTTTTAAATCTCTTTTTAGACGGTTTGTAAATGCAGGGTGGAGAAAAGTTATTCAAAGGTGTTAGACTGTTACAACAATCCTCAGGCACCTGGGGCCTGTGACAAGACACACGTTTACTAAATTATCTGAATAAAACCAGGAAAAAGTATATTTTTATCAGGCATCTGTCTCCACACCTGAGTCCCCCCCCCCCTACCAGAGCCAGAAGGTGTTAAAGCGATAATGAAAAATTAAAATAAGCGATCACAGATGCAAAATGATTACGAGACACAAAATGACTACAAAAGAAAGCAAATGGGTAAAAACAGACAATGACTACAGACGTTTTCTTAGGAGGAGTTGGGGGCCTTGGGGTTGTTTTACATGTCTATGTTGGGGGGTCTGTTTACTGATGTTACCTCATATTAGAATATGTTAAGTTGTTTATTTGGCTTTCATGTATTACACCAAATAACTTAATAATGTACGATGCATTATTACCATAATTTAACAAATATGCTAATGAGAACTATTGTCTTCTTTGTCTTTCTGAGACATTATTGTCACAGTTTAGTCGATTGTTTTATGACTCAGCAGTCCTGGGGGATGCCTAAATATAGTATAGAGCCACAGGTTTAGGGCCCCTGAGTGAACTATTGTTTAGGACTATCATATTAACACTGAAGTTAACACTTCCCTGTACCTTTGTTTGGCAGAACCATTTTTGAGGTAAGCTAAATCAGGAAAAAGATTAGGCCCATCATAAGGTTTCTGTTAACAATAAAAAGTTACACACAAGGTTCTGTAAATGAGGACCCAGCGAACTTTAAATATCTCATTTTACTTCATAAAGAGCAATGGACCGTTAGATCAGCGTTGCAGCGTAAGAGACGTTCATTCTCTTTTCCCTGCAGTAAAAACAAATTGTATCACTCCCATACAATAGCAAAGTCATGCTACTATAGTCCATAGAAAAACAGCTTTAAATACTTTTTTTTGTTGTGTGATGATCTTGAAGTATCTATAGTAGCAGAAATATCCTCAAACATGGGACCATGAGCAAAAGAAGTTCAAAAACATCTTGAAACATCAGTTGAGAAGCTTCCTTTAGATATCCGTCAGTCTTCTGGATTAGTTAATAGAAGCAACCAAGAAGCCACCAGTATGCCCATGTTGGTAGTAGTTAATTGTTCCTGATCCCCATCAAACGGCGGGAAGGTGGACCCAAACCTTTACGGATGTCCAGATTCTTCCTCCAGTATTCGTTGTCTGCATTTCTCTCTCAGTTTATCAATAGTTGCCATAGACAGGCTGCCAGGTTCTGTAAAGATTTTCTGTAAAAAGACAGTTTGAGAGAACCGAAAAGAGTTAAGGTTTAAAATGATTCCTTTAAAGACATATACACACCAATCTGTGTTTACATGGAGCCTGTAATTCATTATAAGACCTCAGGCAGAATAAGCATGAAGCTTTTAGCTCAGCTATAATAAACTAGCTCCGGCTAAAATGTCTGAAGAAATCTCTTCACCATGTACAGGTTACATCTGTCTGTTCACTTTTGGTAAATCTATTATCCTCTGAGTCAAAGATGTTTCCCAGGGAAGATGCACGGTAAGTGGTGAATCTATCTCAGGGTAACCATTTTGAAATAGGTGACGTGCACTAGTCTCAGGGATATAAATTAAATATTTAGTTTAATAACTGAATCAGTAGTGTATTGTTGCTGTTTTAGTGAAAAAAAAAAACACAGTAGTGTGTACTGTAATTACTCTGATAATCAATTCACTCAATTCTCCAGCCTCTTAAATGCGGATTCCTTGCTTTTTTTGTCTTTTACTGTACATATTTGGGGTTAGAGCTTCAGGAACTTTTGATCTGCATTACATGTTTTTGTACATTTTATAGCCCAAACAATTAACCAATTAATCAACAAAATATTCATCTAAATAATCAATAATGAAGAAAAAAAATTGCTGCAGTCCTAATGTCCCTGACTTAATGCAAAGGTTTTCCAGTGGTGGGTGGAGACTTTGGGCTGATATTAGAACTGTTTGGAGGGAATAGTTAATCAGATTGATTACATTATAAGGGCAACATTGGCCAGCCAGTGTTTCTTCATTTGTTTGTCTGACTGTCTTTTGTCGTCGTACCTGCATGAAGGTGTGACAGTCCAGAGTGAAAGCTCCACAGGTGATTTGTTTGAAGCACTCGCACACGTCGGGCAAAGAGCGAGCTCTCAGGATCTCCGGCTGGTTGTGAATGATGAGAGTAAGAGCAACACGGAAAAGAACCTTGGAGCCCTCGTAGAAAATACAATCCCAGACCCGCAGGACCGTCTGCAAGTACGAGAAACAAGAAGTCAGTAACATGATGTGCTTCAACATGACCAACGATTTCCTCATTTGTTTCTACCAATAAACCCCAACTCTTCCTCACCTCAATTGGGAGTACGTCAATGAAGAGGCAGATGAACCAGCGTGACACCACCAGTGTCCATATGCCGGGATACTGGGCCATGAGCTGCCCTACTGCCGGAGCTTTAGCCTTCACCAGTTCCCCAAGAACCTCCTGGTCAGTCTTCAGGCCCAACATGGCCGGGCTGTAGTAGTCTACAATAAACCCAAAGTGGGTGAGTTTGGGAACTGGTTTTGTTTCTGTCTCTAAGATCAAACCTTATTGTTTCAGATTGTTGGGTTAGTCCAGAAATTCTTGCAAGGCTCCAACATGGGTCTACCACTCTTCAGTCTTAACTAGGGGTTATCATGAGCAAACACTATTATATACTACGATTGTTATGGAGATGACGTACAATTGACGACAATGCTTTTGTCATTACTGCAAATATTTTTTATTTACCTTAAAGCTGCAGTAGGTAACTTTTATAAGATAACATCTCATCTTTCCTCCCCTTACAAACAGGAAAGCATGCAGACCATTGTTACAGGCTTGTTTACTGTACTGCAGCCAACATGCTCAATAGCACAGTGTGACCTGAGTGGAACCTCAATTAGTATCATTGGTAACACCTGTATTTACCCTACTATTTCATGTCAAAATGGCTGCTGTGAAAAAGGTCTTCTGTGTGTATGAGCATTATAAAAGAAAAATCTCTACCTGGGAGCATTCTGCCCAACAATGCATCCATGAGCCAGAATGACTTCTCTTCATCTTTGGTGATGATGATGAGATAACCTGCAATGAAGTTCATTCCCTAGAAGAAACAGAGCCAACCAAATAAAGGCATAATTTATGCTGAAGCAACACATTTCCAGAAGCTTAGGTAAGGATGTAACGTTAGTAAGGTCTGCCTTCATTTGGTTCAAAGAGTTCTCAGATTCCTCCTGTGGCCAAAAGCTGTGTGACTTTAGTATACATAAAAATGAAATATCCTGTACAGGAAGCCAATAGAGATTAGTGAATGTGAGTGAAAGTCATGCTACATTTAAGTCTACATGTGTATTCAAATGATTATTGAACAAGCCAGTCCTGTTCTTTAGGCAAACAGACATCTTGTTAAACGAGAGGAGCGTCATCTCTTCACCTGACAGTACCCCACTGCCTTATTATGGTGTCCGTAGGCCAGCAGCACATTGTACAGAGCCCTCTGCAGGCTCGGTTCTGCTCTGCTCTTGAAGAGGACGTTGTCAGGAAAGGTCCTATGCATGTCTGCCAAAAAACATGACAAGAATTGTATTGACATGGACCTGTGTGTCGATACAAACTGAGGTATAGATGGTTCTCATGAAGGTGCATAGTGGATGGTAGTGGGTGGCCTTTTTGACTTGTCATAGTAGGAAAGTGGTTCTCGAACCTTTTCTGGCATGCCCTTCAGCAGCAGAAAAAAAGGTTCACACGCACACCACCAATTGTTTTGTAATCACTAACAATGATAGAGGAACCAAAACTAAGTAATAAGGATCCAAGTTCATTTTTAGTGAAATACATTTATTCAAGAAAATTCATTTAACCTATTTTTCCACACCCCACCTACAGTGGCTCTATGCCTCACGGTTTGAGGACACTGTAGTAGAAAAGTACAAGTTTTAGTTATAACATTAACAATGGCTCCGTTCTCTTCATGTATCCAGTGAACCAGCATGCACAATACCAGGACCCTTAACTAAAACAGCTACATGGAATTCAGCCATCATTTTACCACTTTACACCTGTGCTTTTCCAACTGTGACATGTCAAAATGACTTCCTTTAAAAACGTCTGTTGTCTCACCTATGTGAATGGTTTCCTTCAGCTTGGCGTCATGCTCCATGGCCAGCAGAGACTGGTAATAAGCCGGTTTGCTCTCCATTCGTTCCTGCGCCCCACTAGCTGCCATCCAAATCCTGGCACGGTGCTCATTAGGCACACCTTTACGCACATACCTTTTCACTTCCAAAACACATTTTATAGTTACATCACATAAACACACCAGCATCAGGCACCATGGAGGCACCAAAACCAAACAGTGGTGTGTTGGTTACTTGTACCTGTCAAGTTCTTCTCCACGTGTGGTTTCTCTTGCAACAGCTTGGACCATCTCATCGACCTTCTGTTGAGGACGGCTACATACTCATTCATCATCTCCTTGTATGATTCAAAATCGTGATGTCTCTCAAAGCCATAGGGGTCAATCCTGCTGGGGCAAATCCATACAGTCCAGTACCATGTATGAATGACAATGCACAAAGCACAACTTTGGAGGACTGACAGCTGGGTCACTTTCCTCCCCACCCTTCTTTCTCTCTCCTATTCACTGATGACAAACACTACAACAGCCTCTGCTGGGTCGGGTTTCTGTAGCCAGGAGATCAAATGCCCCGGCTGGATGATTAGACAGTTTTAAATTTCTCTCAAGTGGGATTAGGAGCAACAAGTAAAATTCAATCTAAAAAGTAACTTCAGAAAATGTTATATATTTTCCACTAAACCCGTCTTAGCTATGACATTATACTGAGCTTGGTAGTTGTCTAGTAGCCTTTTGTAAAAGTAAAACATAAAATACAAATGCAAAGAGCTGATGAGAAGAAATGATTTAAATAACTGGTAGTCAGGAAGGCAGCAACAAGAATATACATTAAACAACCACAAGTTAAATAAAGAAGGAACATGCAGTCAGAGAGAACACCACATCAACATGAAGCTCACCTTTCACTTCCATTATTACAGGTAAGAGACTGAGAAGCGTTTGCTGTCATTTCCCTCTCCATCGTGTGTCAGGTGCTCCAGGTTCAGTAGTCCACCAAAGCTATAAACAGCCTGCACCGAGGAGGTTATTTCAACGCGTATTACGTGGAAAAGACTGCTGTCAAGGTAAATAACAAAGCGGTCTGAGTTTCAAATGACTCACCTTACAGTGTTCCCTGGGAGGAGGGGCTAGTTTAAGGAACACCCAGGTAACATCCAGGTATGTTTTTTATTTGCATGCAAAACAATTGGAGGAAGAGAAACAGTAGTGCTTGCTGGTATCTCCCCTTGTATTATTGCTTTCCATGATAGTGAATAATGGATGCACTTGTATCAGTAGCAATAGTGTAGTACTGACAGCAGCAACTTCACCATTAAATCAAAATAAAGGTTTCTTATTATCCTGCACATATTTTAGTCAGAACCAGGATTCCCCCACTGCAATGCCCCCAACCAAATAATTACATATTCTTTTACATATTTTCTGTAAATTTTTATTTGAATGTATTTAATGTGACTATAATTAATACTTTTATATCAAAAATGGATCATGTGACTACTTCTACAATGCTCATATTGATGAACCAAGAGAATGATCATTTGACTCTGCAGTTCACTTTAGCTCTAATGAACTTTTAAACATCTTCCCGCTCATTTTGGATGTAGACGTTTCCCTCAGGAGTTAGTGGAGACCAAAACAGAGCTAAAGGGAAAGTTAAGCTTAGTTCACCATATCAACTTTATAAGGCGATTATGTTTCAAATGTTCAATTCAATTCAATTTTATTTGTATAGCGGCAAATCATAACAGAAGTTATCTCAGGACACTTTTCCAATAGAGCAGGTCTAGACCGAACTCCTTAGAAAATTATTTAGAGACCCGACAGTTCCCACCAAGAGCAAGCACTTGGCGAAGTCGGCAAGGAAAAACTTCCTTTTAA